GGAAATAAGGGTTAAGGATATACGTTCGGGGCTTCTCCTTTGCTTACAATTTGCCCGAGAGCTGCTAAGATGGGTGCGGGAGAGCGAGGCAGATCAGTCTAATGATCTCTATGTCAGCTGATGATGATGATTCATAGAGATGCTCTTCCTTCGTTTTCTCTCTTTGTCTAATGCTCCTTTTTATGTTTTTGTTTTGTTTATTTATTTATATTCTATTTCTTTCTTTCTTTTTATATCTCTACACCATCTCTGTCTCTCTCTCTCTCTCTTTTCTTCCTCTCTCTCTCTCTCTCTCACTCTCTCTCTCTCTCTCTCTCTCTCTCTTCCCATTTCATCTCTCAGTCTATCTATGTCTATCTTTTTCTCTCTATCTTCCTCTTCCTCTCCACCTCTCTCTTTCTTTTTCCCCTTTCGTCTCCATCACTCTCTCTCTTCTCTCCCTCCATTTCTCTTTCTCTCCTTCGACCTCGCCTCTCTGTCTATCTATCTATCGTTTTCTTTCCTCTCCTCGCCTTTTGTGAGTTATGCCGCTTATGTCGTTTATCGCCATGCTTCACAAAGTCACAACAGTATCTTTTTCTAACTTGTTTCTGATACACTTGGTTATCACTTCAATAAACAACTTTCATAATCATGGCCTCGTTATATTTTTCTTTCTTACCCTTTATCATGCTCCTGAATAATATATTACGTTGGAAATGCCTCAATAACGAATTTTGGAGATTCAGGTTGAGCCTCCAAAGTCCTTACCTTCAACACGCGCTTCATATAAAGAAAAAAAGAATTGTCGAAATAAAAGTAGAAGTTGGATATTCTCGCAAACAGCCGCTCGTTCAAGATATTACAGTTGATTATAAAGTCTATAATCAATAGCCTCCTTTAAGAAGATGCCTCTTACGTTCTTTCTTTTTTTTTTTCTTCATTATCACTCATCGTCTTTTGAAGCCAAGACGTGATGTGCAATAAGTGCGATATTTCATAGACGTAATCACTGTTTCGAAATCCTTATGTGCCCTCTTGCAGTGATTGGCACACCTGAGATACGCGCTTGAGATGGTGTTGGCGTTCGATTACAGTTCGTGGGAGCGAGAAAAGAGAAATCCAAATTAAAGATGGTATATTGGAGGCGAAAATAAAACACACGGGATACGTTAGGATAGAATTAGGTGCGTAAGGGTTAAAGTGGATGCTTATCGTTATAACTAACATATGGGATTCAGTAGTTTCATAACGAACATGTGTAATGGAGCTGTATATTTTCCTTATCTCGTAGCCAGTAAGGGGAGATGACTAATGAGATAATGCCTTATGCTTCGCCTCATATGCTTAATTCGCCATGCTGTCTGAAGCCTGTTGGATATTCACACGAAAAAGACATAGAGCGAATGTATCTGACTCTAAGATTGACGAGCAGCCTATGTCTTAACTTTTAAGAAATCATAATAGGCCACGTGTCTGTCATTTCCTCTTCAGAAAATTAGTGTTTGAGTAAATAGCTTTTCTGCTTTGATGTAAAGGAAGGATTACTTGAACTAATCACGATCGACAATACCTACAATACCTTTTAGTATTCTAAAGCAAGATCATGCGACGATAAAACTACACTGATCTTGAAATATAACACAGCTACAACAAGAAAAAAACACGAGATTCCAAAACCTAATTTCCATTATACTCAACATTAGGACTTGAAGAGAGGAGAGAAATTTAATGTTATTTCTATCATTCTTTATCTTTAGGCAAGATATGTGATGTCTTGAGATAATCGTTTCCAGGTGAACAGAAGCAAACAATAACAATAACAAAACGTGTAGAATGAGAACTAGTTGAAACAGAGTATTGTCAATATTTACGTTTCGTCTTCCATGTCTTGTACAACCTTTATACTTGATTCATTTCTTGTCTCTGATCTTATTATTAACCAGTAGTTAGAGAGACAACTTATTATCCTACCTCGGCGATACGGTACGAATTATGAGATCTATAATTCTGTTTTATCTTATTCGTGTATTAATGTTATTGTTATGAAAAATTACCACATTCGGATTTCAAACTTGAAGAGTTAGATGTCCTTTTTTCTGGATAATTTGTATTTCATGACAGATTTATGCTATTTAATATAGCATGTGACACACACATATATTAGTACATAAAATTGAATAACATGAATTCGCTAAGACATCGATCAAAGAAGAAATATTAGAATTATCCTTTGAAGAATAAAAATAAATAAAGAAATAAATTAGAAGAAATACTAGAATTATCCTTTGAAGAATAAAAAATATATAAATTAGAAGAAATTTCAACGCACAGACCGGCCGCAACACAGCCTGTTTATTTCGACCAGCCGCAAAACATGTAAATTTAGACAAGGATCTTTCGTCATGGCAAATCCCGAGAATCCCACAGGATCACTAAAAATCCGTAGTGACTCCGGATATTAGGTCCACCCCGACACTCGCTCGATCACCGGCCTATCCTAATTTATACGGCGTAAGTCTCACTACCTGGATGTGACGTATTATTTGGATTTACTCTATTGCCAACGATCTCAAACGTTATTAGTTGTTCATTCTTCCTCTCTCTCTTGCACACACACACACACACACACACACACACACACACACACACACACACACAGCACACCACACACACAACACACACACACACACACATGCACACACACACACACACACACAACACAACGCACACACACACACACACACACACACACACACACACACACACGGCACACATACACAACACAACACACACACCACACACACACACACATAGATCTAGTTAGATATGATATGTGTATGCGCGTAAGCGTGAATGTACTAAACTGCATATATCATGTATGTTCATGGCTATATATATAGTGGAAACGGATATAAAGGAATAAACGCTATGGAGTATATACTGTAATTAGGCACATTGATATAGACGGTTTGTATTTATAGAATCTGGTACAGTTTTGCATATAAGATGGGAAAGAGAGATAGAGAGATAGAGAGATAGATAGAGAGAGAGAAGAGAGAGAGAGAGAGAGAGAGAGAGAGAGAGAGAGAGAGAGAGAGAGAGAGAGAGAGAGAGAGAGAGAGAGAGAGAGAGAAGGAGAGATAGACAGAATAGATAGATAGAGAGATAGATAGAGAGATAGAGAGAAGAGAGAGATAGATAGAGAGAAGAAAAAATGATTGTCTTAGCATTGCCTGTAAGTATTTTCCATCATTCCTTTTTAAATCCAGATTGATAAATTATTGTTGTTTTAGTAACGTTTATTAGAATAAAAATGATGACAGCGTTGGTTATATCTTGTTTGTGAATTCGAGCATTAGTGTTGTATCAGTGGTATTAAGTCTTTTTTTTGTTTGTTTGATTTTTGTTTATTAGTGTTTGTGTATAATGGGTAAAAACACAGGGATATTTTGAGGATTTCCACAGATTGTATTAACATTATTTTGTGGCAGAATATCAGATTACACTAATGTAAATTCTAGTTATTTTGAATTGATATAAGAAGCTAATGACATTGCTAATACATATGTTCTTTTTCTTTGACTTTTTTTTTAGTGTTAATCTCTTAAGAGTTAGGCTTTGAAGAGATCTGATATACTGAAGCTTTGAAGAGATTTATTACATATGCCTTTGAAGTTTCATGATAAAGACTGTGTATACTTATATGATAAAATACACGCACACGCGCACATACAAACATACATACACACCCACACCACAACACACACACACACACACACACAAACACACACACACACACACACACACACACACACACACACACACACACACACACACACACACACACACACACAAACGCATACACATAATTTCCTCCTACACACGCTAGCCTATATACAAAGGTCACCTAGGGTCAAACATCAAAGGGATTTCAACCTTACAGGTATTAATCTTATATTAATAAAAAATATGATAATCTTCCATGGTTACTAAGCCGACGATGAGGATGTTTGGGATAGGAAGTGGATAGCAGGATAAAGAATGTTAAGAGTATTAAAGATATCATTATGATATTACTACCTATGTTATTTACTTTTATCCTTGTTACTTTTATATCATTATATTTACGTTTCACTGTCATAATCATTATGTTTCACTATCAGATAATCATTGTAATCATGTTTTAATATCATTGTTATCAGTAATGTCATTATCATCATCACCATTACTATCATTATCATTATCATCATTACTTTCATTATTACAGGCATCGCCATTGCCATCAATTTCACTCAACTATAGTCACCATATCACTGACATTAACATGATCATTGTAAGTAGCTGCATTATTGGATTCATTATATCTGATTCAAACTCTTTGTTTACGTTTTCTCCTCTTCTCTCTATATATCTTATTTTTTCTTTATCTCCTTCATTCTACCACAATCTCGTTGTTCAATTTTCTTCCTAGTTTGTGATTAAAACTTGTAAAATAGATTAATGAATAGATTGAATGAATAAGTAAATAAATGGATAAATAAAGAAAGTAAAATAAGGAAAAAATAAAAATAAGTATCGTTGGTCCATTCTTTGGCTGAAAGAGCGACAAAATCTCTTTTTTGATTTTCTTCTAATTTTCTCTATCTCCTTCTTTCGTGTAGTTTGGATGCGAACCGATTAAGCATCAGTAAAATGTGATGGAATTCTAATAGAAAATTAGAGGGAAAACTATAAAGTTCACATATACATTCTAAACTACGTACAAGAACACATATGTATATGTATATATGTTATGTGTGCGTTATGTCTCTCTTTATCTCTCTCCTTCTTTCTCTTTCTCTTTCTCTCTCTCTCTCTCTCTCTCTCTCTCTCTCTCTCTCTCTCTCTCTATATATATATATATATATATATATATATATATATATATATATATATATATATATATATATATATATATATAGCATATATTTCAGGAAAAAGTAAAACATATATGCTAAAGGAGTACTGTTTCTTGTCAGCAGATACGCAGGACGCTCTGCCAGGATACCAGCCTCGGGATTTCTCCAATCTGGCGCAGGACGATCGGTCACTAAGAATGTTTTTGGATTTCCTGCTTAACTCGCAACAGGTAAGTACCTAGTCAGGTGCTCTCTCTGTCTGTCTGTCTGTCTGTGTCTCTCTCTCTCTCTCTGTCTCTGTCTGTCTGTCTCTGTCTCTGTCTCTCTCTCTCTCTCTCTCTCTCTCTCTCTCTCTGTCTCTCTCTCTCTCTCTCTCTCTTCTCTCCCTATATTTATAGATGACTAAACCGATAAGTGTGTGGGCGTGTGTGTTTGTGTGGGCAACAAGAGATTAACAAGAGATTAATTCTTTGCACGTATTTCAAATCGCGTATCGAATAAAATCAACAAGAAATCATCACAGCATTACATATTGATATATACAGCGAAAGCCTGAGAAACTCCATCCGTTGCAGTAACATTTCATAGCCAAATGGAGCCCTCGTGAGAGATTTAGCGTTTAGCATTTACCTGCGTTCAGTAAGTTCCATTCCAACGGGTAGGTTTCCTTTTCATTCATTCATTGCGAGAGTGAGAGGGATTGATTTCAGTGCAGAGTCGCTGTTCATCCCGGTTTGTCACTGGGATGTTGCAAGACGCTCATTAATATTGCACTATCAGTTGAGTGTTATTTTCTCTTATCATTATTACTTTCTTTTTCTTTACTATTTATCTTGCCTAGCTTATTTCTTTTAGTTTTCCTTCTTATCCTTACTTTCTTTTTCTTTACTATTCATCTTGCCTAGGTTATTTCTTTTAGTGATTTCCTTCTTATTCTTACCTTCTTTTTCTTTACTACTTATCTTGCTAGGTTATTTCTTTTAGTGATTTCCTTCTTCCAAATGGCGCTAAAAGGTGCT